TGGCTGTCTATATCTATATACTGAGCATTTAGCCAAGTGCTCTGTACTTGGTAGATACTCATTAATATTCGTTGAATGAGAGAATGGTAGACTAAGGGGCTTTGTCTAGACAGACAGTGACCCGGCCAAGGTCGCACAAGTGGTACCTGGGCTCTTCTATGCAACAGATAGAGCCTCAATAAATAAGTGTATATGTTATAATATTCATTAAAATATATCATATGTACATATAACGCATTTCATCATCCATTCCCTCAAGTATTACAGCAGGTCTCTCACTCTGATTTGACATTACTTTCACTTAGTAGAAAAGCAAGTACCACTCCACTTGTATCCTTTGTTGTGAATTTATTAAATTTTGATTAGTTGTTGAGTTAGCATAGATGATGTCAAATAAAATACTTAATAAAAATTGTGTTCATAAAGGAAAACACCTCTCATTTAAATTAAAACTTATAAAACACATGAATGAAAACACTGAACAAATGTCATTCCTTTTCTTTTCCAATTTGTTTTTTTAAATGCAGTTTTTCATTCATGGAAGGAATTTCTGTTGTATTCTTTCATCACACAGCACTTGAACAATAGCTGATGCTTTTTAAAGGCCAGGCACCATGCTAAAGCACTTCACAGGAATTATGTTATTTAATTCTTGAAATAATTCTATGAGGCAATTTCAATTATTTTATAGATGAGGAAACTGAGTGTTAGAGATGTTAGAAGCCCTGCCCTAGGTTACATAGCTGTGAATTGTCAGAGTATTGGAACCCCTCCACCAGCGTCTAAGCACTTAACCACTGCCTCTTTGGATGCTCATATTAACATAAAAGAAATTCACAATCAGGTAAGGGTCCTGAGCATTTATTTGGTTTGCAGGGAAAAGAGTGTGGAGATGGCCAGTCTTTCCCCTGTTGCAAACTTCTTGGCAGTGTTGCATTTAGCAAGAAGGCGCTGATTCAGGTGACTGTTGGCAGCAAAGGTGAAGACAGATCTTTGTAATTAGGTGTTGGGTTGGCCACAAAGTCCGTTTAGTTTTGTCTGTAAAATAAAAGACAGTTTTTTTACTTTCACCAATAACTTTATTGATTTGGATATTTTGAGTATGTTGGCTATCTTCCACTACTGGATTCTAGTGGGTAGAGGCCAAGGGTGTTACTAAACATCCTCTATGCATAAGACAACCCCACAGCAAAGAATTATTTGGCCAAAATGTCAATAGTACCAAGAAACTTCACAAACCACTTTTGACACATTCAGTCAGTCACAGTACCTTCTCCATATACTGCAGAAATCTTTTGTGTGTGTGTGTTTCAGCTGTGTTTTTACTTTTCTTTAAATAAAAAAGCATAATACACCAAAAATGTTGCGTATCTTCTTCCATCTTCAATATTAAAATGGCTGCACAAAAATTCACCAATTTTGATGTTTTTTTAAATGCACACTGTTATGACAGCTGTTACAATACAGTCTAACAAAACTGTTTTTGAACAAAGTGTAAGACAAGCACCACTATACATCATACAGAAAAAAACTAAACGAACATTTTGGCCAGCCCAATATATACAATTGTTGACCTTCGGCTGTGCCTCACATGGAGAGCTGGGGCTCAGAGTCTGGGGGGGCAACACCAGTAACAGAGGCACAGTGGGAAGGGGTACTGGCAGAGACCAGCTGGGGGCCTTGTGAAGTGTGGAGAACAGACACCTAGCAGGCTGGGGGGGATGAGAGGCATGTCCAGGAAAGCTTTAGTGTGGACCTCTAGGAGTATGCTGGGTGATTATATTATATAAGAACCGTTTTTGTTCTTCCTAGTCTTTTCCCTTCTTTCCATTCTGCCAGTCCCTGCCAGGTCACATCATGCCTCAAAAATCTTTTAATTTTATCATTAGCTTTTATTTACTTTCTTGACCTACCATTCAGTTTTCTCTCTGTTCCCACTTCAGTCTTTGTTTCCAGACCTCCTTCCTATCCAGCACACACCCCATATGTCCTTGACATTCTGCCTTGGCTCACTCATTGACTTCACTGAAAATTCCTTCTCTACTCAAACCCCAGTGTCAGCCATTGCCACTTGCTCAAATTCAGCTAGTTTTTTCAGAACTCAGATCAAGCATCACCTCCTCCAGGAAGTCTACTTGACACCCTCTTCCAGTCAGAAGTTCCTTCCTCTTTTGTAACCACATGGTGGTTTATTATTTTTTTTTAATTGCCCCCATCAGTTTCTACCTTGTATTAAAATCATCTGGGTACAAATAGGGCTGATTCTCAGCTGGTACACGGCAAAAACGCTCCAGCTGTGAAAATATAGCATGTCTCTACATTGGTGTGTAAATAGCTGCAGCCCCAGGCCTCTGAGTACCCCTCCTCCGACCACCCCTCTAGTGGGGGGTAATTTGAATATCATCCCTGGGTATACATCATAGCTTTTTGCTATTACTTAAGACCCTGTCCACCTCAGAATTGTTGTGGGGATTAATTGAGATGATGTACTCGAGAGTAGTACTTAGCACAGTGCTTGGTATTGAAATAAATGGTAACTAGCATTAGTGGTCCTTCTTGCCCAAGAGTGAAGATAGTATATATTCCTGTCTGCATTCCCAGAGATCCCAACACCGGCTTTTGCACATGAGAAACAGTTTGTCAGTTCTAGCTGAATGAATGTGTTCCAGTTGTCAGGAGGATTTCTGTAAAGTTAACATTTCTGTTACACTATTGTGTAATACTTTGATATAAAGAGGCAAGCTTGCAAACTCTGATTGTTTTTTAAGTAGGTGAAAACCATCTATAACAAAAATTTTAAATTTAACAAATAAAAAAATCTCCACCTTAAAAAACCCCACTTCTAACTTAGTTCACTTGCATTATTGAACATTTTCATGTTTGATTTAGTTAATAATATATTAATATTAATATACTAATAGATTAACTGCAGATATTATATTGTTAAAATGATTCTTCACAATATAATTGTTAATGTGAGATTTGAGGGGAAGAAAGAGGAAAGGTGAAAAAGTTGCATGAGATTTTGTGATAAAAATTTAGAGACAAAAAAATTTTAAAGCCATTATCTGCATTTCTACCAGTATTTGATCAGTCTAAACACCCATATGCCCAACTAATTTACCAACCCCCTGGAATCTGACCTGAGTCCATGCTCCTGCTTTGTTGTTCTGTGGAAGAGTATAGTTTTCAGTGCCAACTAACACAGCCAGGGAGAACCTTAGTCAGGAGGGATGGTCCGTTATTACTTAACCAGAGCCCTTTCTCTCATCTTTATTAGGTCTGCCAGATCTCCTTTGGACATTGCTAGACTTAATAGCGACATGTGGAGCCAAGAGAGTTGCAAACCTGATTTGGAAGAAGCTGGTTCACCACACTGAAGCTTCTCTCACTGAGCAGTATGAGTCCTTAGTGCAGTGGGCCTCCCCAAACACACAGACCTGTCACGGCCACTCCAGTCAGGTGGTGTAGGAATGAATTTATATCACTGTGCACCCAAAAATAATCTCCATGCATATTTAACACACTTTATACATATTTTTAATAATTACCATAGAATATTTTTTACTAAAGAGCCCATCATACCATATTCTATTAGAAGTAAAATGTACCAGGTCTGTTGTATATTCTGTTAGTTGTTTTAATTTGCATAGTGGTTTTGGAGACCTTGCTTTCACTTCAACCTCCTACATCAAAATTACTAGAAGAGTGTTGCTTGCCTAGTGATTTCTGTACTCTTTTGCCTCGACACCTGGCCTTCCCACGTGAAAGGAATGGCATGCTGTTGGTACTTTTCGTCAGACGCCTTTCCTCAAAAACTCTAAGGGTGAGGCCTGGGTAGAACTAAACGGATGTTCTGGTTGTGTGTTGTTATGCAACAACTTCACATGTAAAACCATGATACGGTGAATCTTTATTTGTCTAAGAAATCACCTGTTGATTGTACTTGTGGAAATAGAGTCTTTTTAGCTTCCTTTGGCATGTCACCAACTTTTTTCTTTTTTGGCAGATTATTCTAAAACTGGGCAGCTGAAACATATGAATAATTTCTAGACCTCTGTGTCCTTAGAATTATAACATTTTCAGGGAATCAGAGGGTTTTTTTTAATGAACACCTAATACCATATACTAATTAGAATTAAGTTTTTAAAATCTCGACTACTTGAGGTTCAGAGCTGTCAGAGGTGCCTGGCCAAGTTAACCAGGTCTCCGTGGCACACACCAGCATTTGAGAAGGATCCGCATTCTCAGGACCCTTGTGCGTGACTTCTCGTCTTGGACAGGGGTTAGGTGGCCTGGAAAGGGGTCATTTGATACTGATATTTGGCATTTATTCATCTAGGACACTATCTCACATTGAAGGCGATTTGAAATAATCCTTTCAAATATATGAGCAAATTGGAATTGAGCCTTTCTCTGAGTTTACAAGTTACATTTACAAAAGCAAATATAATTTGGAAATGGATCCCATCTATTTAAATTTAAACTTATGCTAGCATTTTGTGTGGAGGACAGCAGGAAAGAAAAGGAATATTTAGTTTAGAGTTTTAAGAGAAGCCATTCCTGTTTCTTGGGGAAGAGAATATTCTCTTGGGGAAGAGAATATTCCCCAATATTTCATAGGGGAAGGGGGTGGAGGAGATGAGATGATTTTCTCTTCTTAGTCCATTTTTTTTTTCATGACTTGGCCTCTTTCTCTCTGGGTTTAGCTTTCATTCTGGGTCTCCTCCCTGAACATCACTTTCCTTAATCACATATCTGCCCAGGTGCATAACAATGCCCATCAACCTGTATCTTTGAAAGCTCTTCTCCCGTCCTGATCTTCGAACTGTAACTGACTAGAAGATTTTTAATTCAAATGTATTTATCAGTTTTTCAGGTTTAATATAGAGGGATGGTTTATGTCTATATGGATGGAGTTAAGTACTACTTTCTAAATTATTGGATGAAAATATTTGATATTTTGTATCTTATATTTCTAGGGAGTGTCCTCTCACTGAAGGACATTTTACTTTAAAAGGAAAGATGTTGTCTCCAAATGATAAAAAGTTGCAAAACCTGGATCCGTTTTATAGGCCTTCATTGGCCAAGCAGAAGACCAGTGCAGAAATCATAAGTGAAGCCCGAAATGCATTAAGAACAGTGAGGACCCAAAGACCATTTACGCCACAGGAAGACCAAAGGAAACTATTCGGGCCTGCGTCTTCAAGGACACCAGAAAACAGACCCCCTTCCTCCTTCAGGTATACGGCCTTTCTCTTGCCTCTGGGTTCGCATATGTAAGCCACCAGCTGACATTTCCCCGTGACTTCTGCTCCTTCTATCAGTTATATCTCTTGTGTCTGGTCAGGATTCCCAAAGATAATTCCAGGCCTGGGGCCCAAGAATTTGGTCTGCAATGGTTAACACTGGTGTCATATCTACTTTACAAAGCAATACAAAGTTTTAAAAAATCATTATGTGGATTTCTTCTTTTCATTATTCAATATTTTTAAGTCTTCTAAAAGGAATGAAAAGTTATTAATAAAATGTTTTAAGTACCATGATTTTTTAAGATTTCTTCTTCCTCAAGACTTATGCATTCAATATGTTTGTTTGGTGCTAGTGTTAACTAATATACACTGAAAGTAAAAGAAGTGATTCTTCCCAGACTAACACTCCTGTTCCATCTCCTGTGCTAGCCTCCATGCGTCCAGTTTTGAGTCATCTGATTCCCGGCCCATCTCTGGTGCACGTCTCAGCCCACTGGAGCTTGTGAGTACTTTATAATATCATGAATGCTATGAAATGGACTCGGTCAAAAATACTTGGAATCAGCACTTACAGATGCTGAGAAAATGATCACATAGACCTACATGTAATGCTAATAATTGAGTATGAATGCAAATTCTTTTATACTTTTTCAAATATAATGGTTAGTACCTAATAAAACATTTCTAGTTACCTATAGTTTAATAATAATTTTTATTAAAAATACAGAGTAACCTGGCAAACAAAATGTGTCATAGAATTTTTTTAATTCAAAAAAGTTACGCATATATATTATTTTATTTTTAATAGTTGCATACAAATAGATACATGTACATAAAAGACAACTGTTTGCTACCCAAACAACTCCAGCAGTCTCTTGTCCCTTTATTCTTCATTCTCCCCTCCCCAGAGGCCCTCGCAGGGGTGTCTAACCTATATCCCGTGGGCCCCATGTGGTCCAGGATGGCCGTGAATGCAGCCCAACAGAAAATAGTAAATTTACTTAAAACATTGAGTTTTTTTGTTATTACGTGTCACAGTGTATTTCATGTGAGGCCCAAGACAACTCTCTTCCTCCAGTGTGGCCCAGAGACGCCAAGAGGTTGGACACCCCTGCATGAGTTGAAATTCTTTTGGCACTTTTTATTTTTATTTAGATTGAAATTCCCAAATAACACAGTGTGCTGCTGCTCTGTGGCTTATGAGCTTGAAGAATTATCTCATGACTGACTTTCCTTGGAGGAGGAAGGAGATTTAACTCTTGTCTGTCCTCCCAGCCTCCTCACAGTAGTTCCCCCTTTCTGTCCCTGCTCCTACTCCCAGTAGAGATGCATCATAATTTTGGTTAGATATTTTTTTCTCCAATTATAGAAACCCTGTTTACAGCAGAGCCTTGAACTAGCAATGGTTAATGATGATTACTTCTTCCTTCTGGCATTAATAATTGCCTGCTTTTTTAGTTTGGTATTATTACTATTTCAACTGGAGAAGGGATTTCAAGCTCTTCCCCAGTGCTCTAAATCTCTTTTGTCTATTCAGAGACACGAGGTATTCTGTTGATTTGCCTCTGTGGAGAATGTTCCACCCTCCCTCCTGGACCACTTGCCCTGGACACCTGGCACACAGCTGGCTTTTCCCTCTTTCCTGGAATTCCTGCTTCTTGGATCCAAAGTCCTTCTCTCTCTTGGTTTACTCTTGCTTTGGTGGAGCACTCCCTCCAACAATTTCTTGAGAAAGAGTGTATGGGAAGTAAGTTTTATTTGAGACCTTGATTCCTGTTTTTTCTCTCTGGAGTGTGTAGGGTTTTTCTTTGTTCACACTGTACTGGAATTTTATGATAATTGGCCTTTGTGTTAGTCCATTTTCATCCGTCCTGCTGGGAACTTTCAGTGAGAAATCTCGTGTCTGATTTCAGACCTTGGAAAAGCCCTTGACTTATTTCGATATGTCTTTCTCTCTTTTTTGTTCTGTTCACTCTTTCTGGAATTTATTATTTGGATGTGGAATCGCCTGGACTGGTGTTTTAATTTTCTTGTTTTCTCTTTTCTGTTTCTCATCATTTTTTAAGAAGAGATTTTATCTTCTAATCCTTTTACTGAGTTCTTTTTATTTCTGCTATTTTTAATGTCTAACCCCTCTTAAACTTATCTTTATATATATGTATACTATATATACATAATGTGTATATATGTATATATAGTAGTCAATTCTTGTTTCATGGCTGTAGCCTGTCATCTGCATACATTGATGATAGTTTTGATTTTTTAATTTTTTTTCTCACAGTTCTGAAGATTAGAAGTCCAAGATCAAGGTGGTAGCTGGGCTGATTACTTCTGAGGACTTTCTACTTGATGAATGGCCATCTTTTCTCTCTGTCTTCACATGGTCTTTCCTCAGTCTTGTTGCATTTTTCTGTCTGTTTTTTATATCAGAGGCTCTCCCTGGGTAGTTCGTGCTGCTTGTTTGGCTGCCCTTACTGGAGAGTGGAGTAAGAATGCTCAGGTCAACCCACAGGTGCTACCTCCTACACCTCCATTTGCAAGGGAGGGGTCTGGCTGAGCTGTGCTGTTTATGAAACTCGCAATGACAGTATCTTTAGCACTTTCCTTGTGGGCTGGTTAATTTTCTATAGAAGTATCTTCAAAACTCTTGTCTGGAGGATAAAGGCTGGCTGCTAACTGCCAGCAGCCAGATGAAGGAAGAAGGTAGGAGTGCCTAACATTCAGTATTTGAAAGTTCCATTAGTATCTATGCTACAAAAAGCAGCCCTCCCCTCCCCTATGCCTGGTTAGCCTGATTCAGAGATATCTCTGTTTTACTCTCTTGAAAGAACAAACCTCCCATCTGCTCCTGAGTCCAGTAGCCTGATTACATAGAGCTGGGGGTGGGGTGGGATGGGAATAAGAAGGACTGGCAGCCAGTCCTTCTTATTTTAGGTACCCCTCCCCTGGGCTCCTGCAACTTCAAGTACCAGTGATACCAATTCCTTAGGCTTTGATGGAGTTGGAGTGGCACTCAAGCAGCTTCTCAGCTTTTACTACTGGATGTGTGTGTGCATGTGTGTGTGTGAGAGAGAGGGTTTGATGGACTCTTTGAAAGTAAGTTGCAGACCTTATAAGACTTTGTCCATAAAAATGTGAGTGTGTCTCATCTGAACAAGCATAGTATCCTGTATGACTATAATGCTATAATCACATCTCAGATTTAATGTATAGTCATTTAATGTACAGTCCATGTCTGAATGACCCTAATTGTCTCAAAAGGTATCTTATATTCTTAAAGTACTCATCAAAATGCCTCTGTGAGGAAGATTATACTTGTTCTTATGTTGCAGATGACAAAAATAAGATTCCAAAATAGTACTTATGAACCAATGCACAATAAACATTTTGCCAGCCATTGTTGTCTGATGGCTGTTTGTGGCCACAGCCTTGGAAACCACTTGGGTTTTGAGTCAGCGGCAGTAAGAGGCCCCTCGGTTTGGCAGCCCAGTGGGCTGACCTGGCTGTAGAATGGCTCTCTATTCTGTGATTCTGCCTTTTGACTGCCATAAATCATTTTTAATATTTCTGTAGTTTGGGGGACTCACTCAGTTTTCACCCACTCTTTCCTGAAAATCCCCGTGTATAGAGCTAACCTGGTCCTCGTCAAGCTGTTACAGTTCTAAGAGTGCAGGGCTAGGTGTCAGGCAAAGACAAGTTGGCATTTGCCTCAGTTTAGCATCATTGCCATTAAATTTCTTTATTGCAGGATGTCTGGGTACTATCTGAAAAGTAAGCATGGACTAAGAAATCTGCATGTTAAATTAAACAACCCCTTTAGTTAGAAATATTTTTGTTATAGTAGATTATGTAAGGGTCTCAAGTATATTTTATTTTATACAGTAATTAAAGTTTGGAGCTCCCAGTCAAAAAATTCTGAAAGTGGCCTCATACCACCTGCCCTCCTGTGTTCTTTCCTCCTTTCACTCCACCTTTTAATGGTCCCCTTGACGCTGGTAAGCACTGACTGACAGTGGGAGGAGAGGAGGGCCTAAAGGAGACGGATAAAGCAGTAAGGTGGGGCTGGGGTATCTAATAGTTAGGGGCCCCTTGCTGAAAGAATTGGGGAAGACCTAACCAGTTGAATTTCAGTGCTTTGTGGATCTAGGACACTTTCTCTGGCTAGTTTACCTTTTCATAGTTCCTTGGCTCGCAGTCAGATAGGGAACAGGGACCCAGAGGGCAACTCATTTCAGCTCGACACTTATCAAATCAGCTCAACTCCGCGCTTGCACGCCTACCCTTCTCCCTCCCCTCCCCACCCCAACATCTGACAGTGGGCTTCCTGCACCCAGAAATGACCTGGGCTTCAGAGACTGATGGAAAAACTGGTGCTCCTGGTCCTGACACTCAGGCCTCAGCTGGCTGGGCTGGCTGGCTCCTCAGGGTTCCCATTAGCACCTATAACTTTTAAGACTGGAAAGCCCTGCAATTTACAGTCTTCCACAAACATTTATACCTGCTTTGTAGGAATGCTCAGGTAAACCTTTTGTCCTTCTTAGCCATCTCTACCCCCTACCACAGCTTTGAGCCTGGAGCTATTGTGTAGTGGTAGTTACTCCTATTTTCATTCTGTGGCTCCAGCTAGCTGGTCCTCAGATTGATCCACTCAGGAGCAGCTGCTCTCATGCTTTGGACTGTATGTAGGAAAAGCTATGTGACCATGTGAATAAATAGGAAATGTTGTCTTTCTTCATTATCCTTGTCAAAACAGAATTCTCCCTGTGTCTTCTTACAAAGCCTTGTCATTTAAGCTCCAGGTATTTTTATTAAACTTTTTGTTGACATACAGAAAAGACACAGATCATAAGAGTGCAGCTTGATAAATGTATACAAGCTCAGCACACCCAGCATTCAAAAAGAACAAATAGGTTATCTCCAGTGCCCAGACCCCACCTCCCCACGGTGACAGCTGACCTGACCCCTCACAGCGGAGACTGTTTGAGCCATTCTTTTTACATTTCATAGGAACCAAGCTCCAAGTATTTGACAAGTAAAACACAATTTGATGTATTTAAAAAGAAAGGGACATAGGAACACATCTACACCTTGAGAATAGAGAAGAATCCAGGGCAAGAAAAAGCAGAATAAGAATGTCAAAGTGGTGGTTTTTCTTTCACTAGTTCTGAAAGGAGCAGTGACATTACTGCAGTGAGTCACACGCCAGGAGAGGCAGTGCATCCCAGAGCACCTGTGGAGAAATGGACATACAATTGCCATACTCCGGGGTTATGTGCTTGGGGGGATTTTTAATATTTGCTTTCTAACTTCCAAGAGGTCAGTGTGTATGTGTGTGTGTGTGTGTTCTGTTGCTTTATAAATTAAATCACAGCAGCTTTCTGGGTAGGATGTCGTTGACTCCCTTTTCCAGCCTTCACATAGAATAAGGGAGACGCCCCTTCCCATCTGGTGATTCCCAAGGAGCCACGTCAGGAACTGGTCAAGGCCCAGGTGCTTGGAGGAATGTTGAAGACAGACAGACCTCTTAAATGTTCTAGGAATTTTGTCTTCTTTGATTAGGTTTTCTAATCAAGAAATAATCTAAAAAATAGTCTTTCAGTTTTCAATGGACTGTAGCAGTTTTTTTATTAATTTTCTTTTTTTAAAGATTTTATTTATTTATTATTTATTTTTAGAGAGGGAAGGGAGGGAGAAAGAGAGAGAGCGAAACATCAATGTGTGGTTGCTGGGGGCTGTGGCCTGCAACCCAGGCATGTGCCCTGACTGGGAATTGAACCTGTGATACTTTGGTTCACAGCCCGCGCTCAATCCACTGAGCTATGCCAGCCAGGGCCGACTCTAGCAGTTTTATCAACTGGAATACATCTTCACATCTGACTTTCCAGTGTCCCTGACTGTACTCGAGTCCCTGGTTAGTGCCCTGACACGAGACATGAGGGCAGTGAGATTCTCAAGTGAAGATTTCAAGTTGCCTGCAACAGTCTCTGAATTCTAAAATGACATGAATTATATACGAAAATTTTTTGACTGTTTTGCTTTATAAAGGCCATTTTGCTCCACAAAGTGAAAGACCATTTTGTAGAGCCTGGCATGAGAGAAATCGTGGCTTGTTTAGTAGTTTTGCCTTGAAGAATTAAAAATGCTTTATGTGTATCAGTTTACCTCTTAAGTAGTCCAGTGAGATGCATGCTTCAAAGGGATAAATAATTCAGTAGAGGTGTGTAGAAAAAGTGGACCTAACATCTTGTTACGTGAACAGTGACTGATTTTGCACAAGGAAGATCATGCCGCCTGTCAAGGAGTAGCTGAAGGGCTTGTCCTGCCATCCAACCGCACCTTGTTCTTCTCTCGTGGGTAAAAATGACCTCTGCAAAACTATATTTTCCCTTTTTATAAGATCTTTTACCTAGTACACAAAACGCTTGTAACAGTTAAGGCATCTGTAAAAGAAAATGTTCCCTTCATCCTCATTATTGGTGTTTGGCAGCCTTCTCGATCTTCGCTTCCAGTTTAAGGTACCTGCAGAATACAGGTGTTTTTAGATAAGAAAACCTTGTATTTACACTCAATGTTGAGATTATCCTTATTTATCTTATCTTTTATAATTATACCTAAAGCACTTATTTTCCTGTTTTATATTCTTAGCTTTTTTGTGACTATTAGCTTCATGGCCTAAGTCACATTCTAATGAATCTTTTACAACAAATTAGTGAGGATAAAAAGTAAAAGGAGTATTTATCAAACAAATATAGCAGAAGTTAAACAGACAAAAAGTGTTGTCTCCTTCAGAATAGAGCTCTCTGAATTTAGGATCTTTTTCCAGCAAGGTTGTGTCCGAGGCTTGGGCCTTGGCTGTGAGACTTCAGAGTAACTTAGAACCAAATTCAGTAAATAAAGGGTGAGTAACCTGCACGGGGAAGGGAGCGAGCATTTCTTGAGTCTCCGTAGCAGGAGCTGTACATATGTCAGTGTCCCTGTAAGAAGGGGACCACTGTCTCTGTTTGGTAGGTGGGCAAGTTCAGAGAAGTAAGCGGCCTGCCCAGGCTCACATAATGAGTAAGTGAATTCCACTTCAGACCCATCTGACCCAAAGTCGTTTTCTCTTCCTCTATATTGTGTTATTTTATTTATCATTTTTCCATGTTTGGAAGAATGTGTCTCTGATGTCATAACTAATTTCTTATGTGGTTCCTGAGCCAATTTCAGATGCAAATGAACACAAGGGCATACAAAAATATCTTGAGTACACCTGAAAAACAAAACAAAATTATTTTGAAAAGTGCCACCATTATTGAAATAAGCCACTTCTTGGAAAGAGAACTCTAATATAAATGCCATTGTTCTCTTAATCATATGAGAACATATGTATTTAAAATTACGCATCATATATGATAGATGACTTCACCCCATTTTCCAAATTATCTGACTTGAATTTCATACTGGATAGTTAAAATATTTGTTGACTAACCTGCTGGATTGACAGTCACACATTTCACATATTATGTAAGTAACTTGAGGAGCTTGAACTTTATTATTTTTGGTTAGAGAGCTGAAAAGCACTTGCTGCCATAAGGTCACTCTTGCACACACAGACAGTCGTGCTCAAGTTGGAGAGCACAGGGGTGGCCCGGCAGGCAACGCTGGGAGTGAGGGTCGGGTCTCCGTGCAGCCCTGGCCCTGGCTCAGGCCGCCGCCGTCTGGAGGTTAGACCAGGGGTGATCCCGGAGGCACAGTGCTCGGTGCAGGTATTTCTAAAAGTCTTTAAGGAACTGGAATTTTGCCAGCAATGTTTCTTTTCTAAGGATATCAGCACAGAATTCTGGAGATATGGAAAATAAAACATATTTATATCCTAAGTCCAAGACAACTTCTTGCTCTTATGTTTTGTAACTATAAATTATTTAAAAGTTTTTATATCATTAAAAAGTATTTTTTGGAATCCAAAATGTGTAAAGGTAGTATTTATATTCCATATAGTTCTTGACACATATAGGTGTCCAATAAATGTTGTCTGAGCTGAACTGAACCCCAAATTTGCAAAGCATATTGAATATACTCCACCAAGATGTTTAGTTTTTTTATACAGATACCTGCTAGCATTGGTTTTGTTTTTGTTTTATTTTAGATACACAAACAAGGCAGAACAGTAGAGTATATAATACAATATATTTAGCAAGAACAATGAAAAAGTGTTATGTATAGAACATATTGAGTCCGACAGGCCAGTGAGCCACAAGGTCCCAGGGGGAGTGGGCGGGTGCAGGTGCAGCCAGACAGGAAGCTCTGTCTGCACTCATCTGGGAGGTGAGAGCCAGCTCCAGGGTGCTGAACTTATTTGGGATGGAGAAACTCATGCCAACCTTTTGAAAACTCTCTTTCCAGAAACCGAAAGCCCCAGCATTTCCCACCACAGAGGAGGACCCCTGCCTTTCTTTTCCTAAACCCCCAGTGGACCCTGCGAAGATCAGAAGAATAAGCAGCGCCCGGGCGCGCTTGTTCAGGGCGGCCTCCCAGGGGGCTCTGCTGCCAGACAGGACCCTTCTTCCCGTGGAGCGTAAGGCCAAGTAACACTCTTTAAAACCTGGGGGCAGGCATGTCTCTTGAATTTGCACACAAAAGCGATTTTTACATAATTTTTCAAACCTCATGTGATTTTTAGGGTGGCTAAGACTTAATTTTGTACAGAAGCTGGGTAAGAAATATTTGTTCATATATTTGTTCATATATTTTTCTGGGTGTTTATAAAGAATACCTAAATATCACAGTTTTCAAAAAATCATAACTTGGTAAAAAGAGAATATTAGTTTAAGTATTTTCTAATGAATAGGTTTATTATCTATATTGGAGAAATGATTTTTAAAGTATTGTTTAAAAAGTTGTTAATTTTGTTATGCATATTTAAGGTTCATACAATGTACACTAAGCTTGGCTCTTTGAAAATACCCATGATCCCATGGAAAAATTAAGCAAAAGTTGAATGGGGCTTTTCCTGCCCTCACAGAATTGCTAGCAGGGATCTACACCTGGGAACAGAGAGGCTGAAAACCTGAAATTCTAAGGAGTATCCCTAACAAATGCAGTCCAGGGCGCGCTAGGAGTTTTCCAAACTGTAGGTAGTAACATCCCTGTTAGTGGGATGACAATCCGTTTAGTGGATCACGTCAGCATTTTTTAAAAAAATGAAGTAATCTTGCATGTGACGGAAAATATCAGGGCACGCTGCAGACAGTAAAGGTAAGTTTTGCTTCAGGAGAGTTTGCTTCAGACACACATGGGTGTTTAGAGCCACATTATAAATTCATTACCTAGTACCTTTATATTGAATCATATAATAAACTTATGATTACTGTATGTGACAAAAGGTCAGACAGCCACCCTCCCAGGGGCTGACGGACCTGGCCTCCTTCGGTGCGAGGACTGCCGAGGGGGCGTGGGTCACCTTCCGGAGAGGAGGGGACGTGAGCTCGGATGCCGAGGGTCACAAGTCACCACCTGAGGGCCCTGCTTGTTTCACACTCAGGCATTATCTTTTAGTCATCGACATTTCAGTGTAGATCTCATGGAGGAGTCCAGCGTTGTGACTTCTTATGAAAAAACAAAAGGTCTGGCAGCTCTAGGCCCCCTTTCTATGCAGCCACCACGAGAATGATCGGAGCTGCGTGTGTGTGCCCCCATTGGCCCAGGACAGGAGCTGCTGTGCCCCGTGTCCCCCGGCCCACTTCGCTCATTTCCTGCCTGGGTCCTGTGACCCCTAGTGATCCCTGACACCACTGAAGAGGCAAAATCAAGGAGAAAGGAAAAGACAGGCAGTGCAGAGTGTGTGTGTCACACGGTGATGCTGTCCTGGAGTATAACTGTCTCTCAGTATCGATGGGGGATTCATTCTAGGGCCCCTGCAGATACCCAAATGTGCAGGTGCTCGAGTCTCTTATATAAAGGGGCGTAGTATTTGCATATAAGATATGCAATCTTGGGTACTTCAAATTATCTCTAGATAACTTCTAATAGCTAACACAATGTAAATGTTATGCAAATACTTGTTTTCCTGTATTGTTTAGTAAACAATGACAAGAAGAAAGTCTATAGATGCAACCATCTTAGGCCTAATAACACAGCACACATTAGGAACACCGTACCATTGTTTCCTGACTGTTTTGTATCTGGGACTGGTTGAATGTGCTGTTACAGAACCCACAGATATGGAGGGACAACTGTTTATAATTAGGCAACTCACTTTACCTTGATGTTCCAATTTGTTTCTGTTCTAACAGTCAGTCAATCAGAAATGTACTGAGCCCCAACGAAGTGCCAGGCACCATTCTAGGCCACCAGGGTCCTGTCCTCAAAGAATTCACAGTCCAGGGAGGGGAGACAGACAATAAACAGGAACACAAAGAAGCAGGATAATTTGGGTTCTGACAAGTGCTGCGAAGAAGATAAGCAAGACAATGGGATGATGACAAGTAACTGTGACAGGAGGAATCTGGGTTCGCTCCTGACTCTGGAAGTATCCTTGAGGAGGTGGCACCTGGGTTGAAATGTGCGTGATGAGGGGAAGGAACCATGTAGACATCTGTGGATCAGTGTCACGCTCAAGGGACAGCAAGGCCGGAGATGGGAGTAATCTTGGGTGGCAGAGGGCCTGAAGGCCAGTGTGGCTGGAAGGTTACTAACCCCAGGGAAGCTGGAGGGAGCTGAGGCCACAGGTGATACTGGGCCGGGGTGCTGGGGGATGGCCCCGGGCTTATTCTGCTGGCAGCGGAAAGCAGGGTTTAAGCAAGGGAGAAACATCATCCAACTTAACATTTCTCAACTGTAGCTGCACATGACAGTCACCTGAGGAACTTGTCACATGTCCCACACAGGGTGTGTGGGGAGGGAGCAGGGTGGGGGGCATGCCAGACCAGTTAACTCAGAAAGGCTTGGTGGCTGCAGGAGCCAGGTCTTCCACGAAGAGGAGAGGGGATGGGATCTGCAGCTCAAGGCTGGGGGTGGGGTCAGATGCAGACAGGAGCAGGGCCACTTCCTGTAAACAGGATGCAGAGCTGGGTTACCAAACAGTTGTTATTGGATGGTTTTGCTTCTGAGCCCAAATGCCGCATCCATGTTTAAGGCATTTAACTCTTGGAAGCTCGCCCTGAGAGCTTTGCTGCTTGCTGACCTGGTCACCTGTTTGTGGAGGCGACTGAAGAGATGGATGTTTTACGCCCTAGCCTCATCTTCTGAGCTTTCCTTGTGGCTTAGTGCCTTCCCTCCGGGGCCGCCTGGCCCCTGGCCACAGTGCTCCAGTTGTGCTCTGGGAGGTGCCGTCTGCAGTGTCACATCCCAGCACTGAGGCCACCTTCATGCCTCCAAGTGCCCCAAAGCACCTGTTCGCTGGGTTCCTGTGACCACCCCCCCACCCCCCCCACCCCCGTTTGCAGGCCAGCCTCACCGTTTCCTTCACCCCTGTGGCGTCAGCACTCCGGGGACAATGGCAGTAAAAAGTCACTGTCATTTTAAAGGCCCAATTAAAAAATATATTTTAGCGTTCTAGCCTTGGGATCATTGTCACTTGTACAGGAGCTCCCTGGGCCTGTTTCCGAGCCTCTGTTGTTCAGAAAAGGCATCTTTTATTGGGTTATTGTAAAGGTGACCGTGCAAGACAGGGGTGCCTCCCTCCCTCTGGTGCGAAGCCCTTTGCAACTGACACTGCCAGAGGCAGGGCTAGAGGTGTGGTGCCAGGTTCGGAATTTCTGATTTAAGGACAGGAAAGGGGAGGATGTGTGTGCAGTCATCCTGACAGGACCAGCAGTCTCATTGCTCTGTGTTCCAGTTAGGGCTTTTGGCTGGAGGGGGACAGTGTTGCTAACCCTGCCCTGGTTATTCAAGCCAGACGGGGACCTCGGTGCAGCCTTCACCTTCTCACCCATCCCTGTCATCCTTGCCGTCACCAGCATCACCTCCCCGCCCTCGGCCCCAACAATGGGCTTTCTAAATGGGTTTACAAGCACTTCTTGTGTCTGTGTTCTCCTTTCCCGCCACTGCCTTTCTGCCTTTATCACTTCTTGCCTTGTCCCTGGTCATCCAGCCCTCCCGTCTTGCTCACAGCCAGAGCCTGCAAGTGGGTCAACCCAAGGACCCTCAGCCCTCAGAGCAGCCAGCAGAGCCGGGGGAAGCCGACCTCCCAACCAGACGTGGCCATGAGCAGTGGTCTTATCCCTTTATCTTAATGGACCATGAAAAATCATTTTCTGTGTGTGCCATAGGGACAAGCGGTCAGCAAGCAAACAGAAATCAGATTGCATCATCTTGCTGAAAACCCTCACTGTGCCTGAAGGAGTGTTTGCCAAACTGAGTTCCAGGGAACATTTTAGCAAAATATTAATAGCTTTTCCTTGGAAAAAGTGTTCAGTGCTGAAATAAGTCTGCCTACTTTCTTTCCCTCTTGGAGAGTCGCAATCCACATGAGTGTATTTAAAGGGTTGGTGAAGCCATCTGTAAAGAAACCTGTTTCGTTTTAATTCAACCCAGCATTTCAGAAATCTTCATGGCTGTGGAATCTGTCTTTTGGGCAACACAGCTTGGGGAATACCGACCTCACACAGAAGTTAGCAAACTTTTTCTACAGAAGGTCAGATAGATAGTAAATATTTTATATCTTGAAGGCCACACAGCCTTGGATCAACCTACTCAACCATGCCATTCTAGTGGGAAATCAACCAGAGACTGATATATGGCCACTGAAATGTGAATTTCATGTAATTATATGTTACAAAATATTTTTTTCTTTTGATCTTTACCCTCAACCACTTAAGAATATAAAACCCATTCTTAGCTTGCAGACTGCACCAGAACAGGAGGTAGGCCAGATTCGGTAGCTGTTTGCTGACTCCTTGTACGCACAGCTATGCTGTGACCTGGCCCCAGCCTACCTTCCCAGGACCTTCTTTCGACTCCCCTTGCTTACCCATGTCCATCATCTGTGCACCAGCAATGTGGAACTCCTTGCTGTTCTCCATACCCTCCCATCCTGCTGTTTCAAGCCTCATGCAGGACCCGCTATGTAATTTGTTGGACCCAGTGCAAAATGAAAATGTGGTGCTCTTTGTTCAAAAATTGTTCAGAACCTCAAGATGGCCACAGGGGAGCATCAAACCAGCATGGGGCCCTTCTAAGCACAGGGCCCGCTTGACTGTCCAGCTTGTGCACACGTGAGGCTGGCTCTGACTTCAGGCTTTTGTTCCTTCTTCTCAAAACTCCTTTGTGCTGCCTGCTAACCCTTCAGAATGCTTTGCAGGCTCCACGTCCTCTGTGGCTCTTTCCCTGACCAACTCTTAACCCCTCAGAACTCCCCTGCTCTCTCTGTCCTCCCTACCTTGCTCAAACCATTGCATTTCTCTGTACTACATTTCCCTCCTTACACGTGCCTGCTTCTCTTGTCTCCCTTACTAGACTGAGCAACTTCAGCAAGTAAAGAGATTTTCTCTATTTATGTAGCCCAAGAGCCTAAAACAGGGTTTTAGGCTAGTATATAGTAGGTGCTAAAGAAAGGTCTGTGAAACGGAACTGTGTCTGCTGGGTAATACTACTGGAAGTAGAATACCTTTGAAGTTTACCCGTGATCCATTACAAAATTACTGCAGTGTGCTGCAGATACTTGCCAGGCAGATACAGAGCATCCTTAGTCACGCTCACTTTAATGGTGGAGATCCTGCAAAAGTACAGTGAGCCCCAGGGCACCTCTTCCCTGTGGCTGGCAGCTCATCTCGTAGGTTGTCAAGATACAGGGGCTGCATGCAGCTCCTTCACCTGTGAGGATGGGTGTTCCCCCTATAGAAAACTGGCCCCATGACACTGGGGCATCTTGTCCACCACTGGACCAGCAGCACTTGGAAGAGCATCTGGCCCACAGCCGTGGGTGCTGAATAAATATTTATGGAGTAAATGAATAAGAGAAATAAATGCTAAAATATAGGCACAGGCTAAAGATGCTTTGTAATCTAAAACAAAATACATGCCTTATGATTCAGTAGTAAAGATATTTAAGATAGCATAGTGCTATGGAGAGAGGCTGGGACCGGGAGTCAGGGTTCTTGAGTTCCATTAATAATAATGACGGTAACATCTAGGTTTTGAGTGTGCTGGCGTCATGTAAGTCATTAGGCCATATCATTTCATTCTCACCACATCCCCAAGGGGTGGGGACCATTGAGGAAGGTGAGAGAAAAGTTGAGAGGCCTTCCCAAGTCACACAGCCTGTACTTGACCCCAAGTCTGATGAAGTGTAAAGCCTACACTCTTCCCACTGTATAGCCCTGCTCTCCCCAAACTTCCTCTGTGACCTTAAACTAGTCACTGAACCTTTGGGTTCTCAATTCTCATTAGAAAAAATGAAGGTTAGACTAGCCAATCTCTATGGTTTCTTTCAGCTTTAAAATTCAGTGTTTTGGAAGCAAGGTGCTGGGTCATGGCAGTAGACTAGGTGGTTTTGTTGTTGGTTTTCATTGTTTTGTCGGTTCAAGTGCAGAAAAGAAAGTCTTGAGTCATTTTAGAAAAGTTTGCAAAAGGCATTTTTTTATGTGAAGCTCATTCCCCCTCTGCCTTTGAAAAAAAAAATTATCACAGACTAGAGCATAGTAGCAGCGTGATGTCAATGGCTGATGAAGAAACAGTGTTATAAGCCTAAGATTCTACAGTCATAAACAAGATAGATGTTTCAGTTTACAAACTGGACATCTTTTTGCAACTCTATCTTATTCCCCTTTAGCCAGCCTTATAGGGCTTTCAGTGCACCCCTCCGTTCACATAGTGGTCTGCTAGCCTCCAGGACTCAGCCTTGCCCCTCTGGTTACCTCTCCTGCTCTTTCCCCCTCACACACTCCACTGCCCTTGAGCACGTCAGGCACACTCCTGCCCTAGGGCTTCCGAACTGCTCTTCCCGCTGCTGGAAACACCGTTCTCATCATCTGACGGCCAGGCGCCTCACCTCCTTTAAGGGTCTGCCTACCATGTCCACCCTGTTCAAAATTGTTACTGGACCCCATTCCCAGCCACCTTTACCCTTCTTCACTATTCTACTTTTGCTCTTTTCCCCTGCACTTATTATTTTACATACCTTATTCATTATTGTCTGTATATTCCTATTAGGATGTAAATGAGGTGAGGATTTTTTGTTTTGTCGCTGCTGCATCCTAAGTGCCCAGGACAGTGCCTGACATCAGGAGAGTACTCAATAAATACTTTTTGAATCAAAAATTACTAACTTGAGCAAATTTACAAATAGGGGTTATTGTATGGGATGCAGAGTATATATGTGGACTTAGGTAGATCATAAACCTAAATTCAAGTGTTTGCCTTAGGTAGACTGCAAACTAACAGGAAGGAGATTTCATTCATTTTCACCTGCTGAACTGATGATGCCAAGCCTAAAATAGGGGTGTGGTCTTATTTGTCCAGGGAGGTTTTATCCATAGCGTTGCAGACTTGATTATAAGTAATATATAATTTTTAAATTGTGCAAGCTCTTAGATTGAAAAAAAATATTGAAAGATAGTGATTCCTAAAAGAAGAAATGCTTTGACAAAACATTTCCTTGGTTATTACAGGAAAGAAGACAGTGGAATCCAGAGAAACAGCCAGGATGGGGGGCTCTCTGACGAAAACCAATGGGATTCACGTAACGGAATCTAAGGCCATTGGCCTCATGGAGAGGCCGCCACTTCCCCTGGCTGAGGATGGTGGCTTCAGCGACGTCAAGGAGCAAGGGCTGTTCCAGGGGGCAGCATCCTCACCACCTCATCTTGGAAGCGGAGGGTCAGTATTCTTCCTATTTCATTTCCTGGTGAGGATAACAACGCCATTTGCCAGTCTGTTTTCTATCTTATGTAGACGGGTGGCTTGCATGTTCTCTTTTGTGTACAGCAAATGTTGAGTTAATGATACATGAGCAGGAAAGATTTCTCCTCACAGCTAAGGGGAGTTGGTTTTACATCATTCCCCATTTAATCCTTAGGAAAACATTTATTCATGCTTGCCAATATGCCGCTCTGATAGGATTGTCAGAAGAAAGGCTTTGCTCTGGTGGGACTGCTCCAGCCTGCTCTTGAGTGACAACTGATGATTCTGTTTATGTTATTTGGGATTCTTGCCTGGACTGGCATCTCATTAGCTCCCTTTCGGCTAGCTTACTATTGTTAACTCCACAAAAGAGTAGGCATTTAATTTATTTATTTTTCTCCAATAGAAACTTGGATTAAAATATTTATTTTGCAAACTAATAGCTAAAACAGGAGAGTCCTGTGGATTTCAGTTATGAGACAATCCCTCTACTAATCCCACATGAAATGAATGATTGGGAATTAACTTTATTTCATATGATGTTCCTAGACAGAACTTTCTTTTTTACCCCAGTTCTCACCGACACCTTCATCCACCCTCCCACTCCCCCTGCCCATCTGTGAACCCCTAAGTTCATCCAGTGTTCCTCAATAGGGCTTTGTCTAGAAAATTGGGAGCAAATATCCTACCACATTAGGGATTTGTGAGAAATGTTTACTGTATGGACCACATGGATTCTTACCTGGTGTTTTCCCAAGGTAGCCTGAGTAATTGGGGGCCAGGGCGCAAGCAGGTTCTGTTTTCAAGTCCCAGCCACTAATGATGCTAAGAAAGGCAGAAGGTCTTGGACCGGACAGGGTCACTCAAAGATATTTTTCTCTGACTTTCCATTGGGTCATTATGGACAACTGCCCAGTTCAAATTTGCCTAACAAGATTATATTCCATGGGCCATTTTAAGACCAAGAGCTTGTTCCCCTCACTTTAGATTTCAGGCCTGACTTTGGTTTATACACATGTTACGTTCTTAAAACTGTTCCCCGAACTGGCTGCTAGGTCACTGATTAGTTTAGCTGAACTGACCTTGTCTGCTGACACAGCCTGAAGAGTGTCCCACACGCCAGATTTATATTAGGCAAACTAGCAGTCCTTGTAATGTCACTTCACATTCAGAACATTTTTTAAATGAAAGGAAAAATGAAATGTCTCCTTAAGTGGAAGAGAACAAACTTCGAACTGGGACTTTGGGAGTTGAGCACAAAACATTGTACTGGCCATTGCAACAAATCTCTTCCAGTTGGTGAGTAAGAATAGACTGCAGACCTCAGAGCTTTAACATAAAAGGCAGCCAGAGCACTTGTGTTTCTTTCAGCGCTGAAGTGAAAAGGAAACGTTTATCCTGCTGCACCCATCCTTACAGTAATTAAAGTTGACTAGGAAAACCAGACAAGAGCTGTTTTGTTTTGTTTTATTTTTTGCAAACCTTCAGATGTTGTAGAATAATCTGGCAAGCCAGAGTTCATCATGTCTTCCCAAGTCTGAGACAGCAAAGGCATTTTCAGTTACTTATTTCATCCCTCAAACAGCAAAGGGGAAATCAATTAGGACTGGACGCACTTCTTCCTGACAGTCCAAAATTATGCGGCACTGGGGCTAATTGTTAATTGTTTTCTTTTTGTTTTGTTAGCATGACTTTTGCATCGTGTAATGATTGTGTCTGAGTTGGGTTTGCAGTACACCCTGGCAAGTTTGACTTCCAATAACATTTTTTGCTTTACGAATCTTTACTTCCTTTAATCATGGGATGGGTTTTTGTTGAGGTGCCAAAAAAAATTTTTAGACAGTAAAATTAAAACCAACCAGCAAATGGAAACTATTAGCAATTCTTTCATTAATTACATTAGTGAATCAATCTGGGACACTTGATAATTATTTCTTGTAAACATTTAAGAGGATAATTCCAAGAAATGATCTTTGCTTTGCAATGGAGTATTCCCAGTTTTGAGGTTAAAGCCTTACCCTCCATTAACTTTTTTGTGTGTGTCTGTAGCCCATAAACTGGAGAATGAAGTCTTGTCAGTGAGCTGGGCTGTCAGAAGAAGGGAGGGCCGGGAATATGTAACTAGAGCAGGGAGAGGCGTTAGATGACAGCGGGTGGAGAGGAACAGAGCAATCATGTAATGGGGACAGAAGAAGTGAGGACGTGCGCCCCGTGCAGGGTCCTTGCACTTCCTGCTGAGAGCTCTCGCTGGGGAAAGAAAGGTGCAGGTTATCTCAGTGCAACAGCATTGACTTGTGCGCCCTTAACTCAGAATGTAGATGACTCAGGCATGGGGTGGACTGGAGTCTACCTTTGTGCTGATTGTGATGGAAAAGGATTTGCTACACAAGGTATCATCTCAAACAAGATCTTGGGGAACTATTTAACTTTCCAAAAGAGAACATACTCTCAAGCGCTTAACAAATTATCATCTTAAAACAGTGTGCCAGTTACAACAGTCTCTGTGTGTTCGTTTAAGGATTCGTTTAAAGTTTGGCAGGCTTGCTCTGCAGCGGCACTCCATTTTCTCTTTGCTGTATGGATTGAAAACAGCTTTCCTTAAGCGATGTGTAGGGGGGTGGGCAAAAGTAGGTTTATGGCTGTTTGTGTGGAAAAAGGCGTGCAGGTTATGATTATTACAATAGTTTTATTGACTCTGTGTTTTGTACTCAAAACTGTAAACCTAATTTTGCCAACCCCCGTATGTGTATGAATCTCCTTCCGTTTATCTGTCCATTCATCCATCCATCTATCCATCCAGTAGTTCAAACTGATGAAATCCTTTATATAGCTGCTTAAAAGCCTTGTAAGGTTTTCTGTGTAAATATTGTTCACACTACTGTGATTTGGAAATGTAATTTTTAGGAGGAAAGGCCAAGAGCAGTCCGTTGTAGAGAGACAAGAACTCTTTGCTGGGAGCAGAGCCCCTGGATTTGGTTATTCTCTCAGCCACGTGATTTCTCTGAATACTCTTCAGCAAGTCTCTGAACAATTTAGGGGGCTCAGTTTTTTAATCTGTGATATGGAAATACCCTTGCTCCTTCGCTTCTATATCCTCCCAGCTCTCACTGTGGGAGGTAGAATAATTAATAAGCCTTGAAAGGATTATATTTAAACCAGCAAGTGCTGTTAGTATTATTGGAGTCAAAAATAAGAAAAGAGGGCTTTTGGTTAAAGATGGCAAAGCAAAGTTATTCTGCAGAAACCCAATCAAAGCGACAAAGTATAAAAAACAGAGAAGTAAATGTCATCAATGAAACAAACAAACAAAAAATGGTTCCAACCCCAAACTACAAAACATGAAGCAAACCTTACACTGCATGATGGCCTTCATCCCGTCTCTCCTGCTTTGGAAAGCAGGCTGTCTTGCATTGTATATTAAATCCTGCCCAGTCCATATGTGGAAGAGGGCTGTCCCTGTCTTTCCTACTCCTCTTCCTAGAGGTGGTTAAGTGGCCCACAGCTGGCTGCTCAGAATCCTCCAACCCACCAGCCATAGCACTTGGTGGGCAGGTTATCCAGGCAAGGCAAATGGACTTCTTCCCTGGTACTTTTGCTGAAGCCTTTGGGAAAAGTGCTCTTTCTCCAAGTTCACAAGCTATAAAGATGATATTGTCTTGGAGCCAACAATGGCCAGTGTATAAAGAAACAGAGTGAAGATAGTGACCAAGTTCAAAGATGCCATATAATCCCCCAGATCCAGCTGTGCCTGAGGCCACCACATCCACACTCTAGACTGCTCTGTTTTGAGCCAACACATTCCTTTTCCTTTCTCTCTCTGTCTCTTCTTCCTTCCTCCCACTCTCCTCCCTCGCTCCCGTCCTTCCTTCCTCCCTCCCTCCTTTCTTTCCTTCCTTCTTCTTCCTTTTCTTACCTTTCTTCTTTCTTTTATTTACTTCTTTTGACAGGGACAGCTTGTGGTACTTCAGATTAGGTATTTGTTACTTGGAATATTGCAACCAAAAGAGTCTAGTTCGCTTGTCAGACTTGATGAACTGGAGATGAAAACAAGACGTAATTTGAGAGCAGATACCTCCTCAGATCTTGAACAAGAAACAGGTTTCAGTAAAACTGAGTCTGTCAGCTCAGAAAGGTGTATCCAATAGTCTTTAATGAAAGAAGTGAGATCTAAGGTGTGGGCAGGCCACTGGAGAAGGGAGGAAGCCACTGGAAAGACCCCCTCCAAGATCCAGGTCATGAAGCATCTGGGGAGGATGAAACTGAGGGCGACAAGCTCTCATTTCCCATGAGCCATCTAGTGTGTGTGCCTGTGTGTGTGTGTGTGTGTGTGTGTGTGGAAGGGTGGAAGGGAATAGTTTGATGGTCAGAACTCAAGGAGCATAACAGAGCTTTTCTGTGAGTCACGGCAACCTGCTACACACAAACCAAGGGAACACACACTCCAAATTGAGAGAAATAACAGGCTTGGTGAGCGAAGGTACACGTATCCTGGCTCTCTCCCTCTGTGGACCCTTTTCATTGTTCAACAAATATATGGCTCTGTTTAAAGATAAATAGTGTTAGACAGGAGTTATCATGGGACTGGAGCACAGGTATGGAAAGAACTTAACAAAAAGATGAAGAAAATGGAGAGTTAAGACAATTTTTCATAGCCTCAAAGAAATTAAAGATAATGTTATTGATCTGTTTTTTTAAAAAGGAAAAAAGAGCTCTTATTTGGATTATAAGAATTCAAATTCGAGATTATAATCCTGCATCAAGAGATTAAAAGCATGCTTGCAATTCTGAAAAATGAAAGAAAATGTATAAATGTGGAGAGGACAGCCACATTAGAAATAAAAAAAGAATAAAAACAGTTGGAAATGCAATGAGATCTAGTGGACAGACTACAGGAAATCATTCCAAAAAAAAAAAATGAGTTCAAAGATAGGAAAATGAGAGAGAGATTGAGATAAATATGGGAGGCGTGGCATGTT